CCCCAAAACCCCAAAACCCCTCAGTAGCGAAATATGTGAAAGAAGTAGAAAGGGATTTCAAATTAAATATCTTTGTAAAACTTTTAGGTAAATGGAATCAACCAGCAAAGAGATTATTCTGATAACTGGTATTACAGGCTTTATTGGGTCATGGATAGGAAAAGTATTTTCTGAGAATGCACTTGGAGAATTCAGAATTAGAGCATCAGTCAGGTCAATCAAAAAAACTGAGGTGCTAAGAAAGGAATATGGGGATGAGCTATTCAACCAGTTAGAATTTGTGGAAGCTGATCTAAACAACAAAGAGTCTCTGTTCAAAGCTGTTGAAGGAGTGAAGTACATAATACACGTTGCAAGTCCGATTCCGGGAGCCATTAACGTCTCAGGCGAGGAAATGCTTAGAGGAGCTAGAGATGGTATGAATACCATTATTGAAGCAGCTCTTCAAAACAAAGTCAAGAGAATCGTCATCACTTCTAGCTTTTCAACTATCCTAGGTGATCACTGGAGAAGAAGTGAAAGAGACCATATTTACACTGAAGAAGATTTTGCACCAATGACAACTCCAGATGGATATGCAAGAAGCAAAATAACCTAAGAAACCATTGCTAGAGAATTCTTGAAAAACTAGAAACCAGGGGAAGATGGATACATGCTGGAGATGCTAACCATTCATCCAACGTTTGTAATCGGTCCAACTCTTATTCCTGAAAGAAACAGTACTGTTGAGGCTATTGCTAAGATAGTAAATAGATAGATACCTGGGATTCCCAACTTCTAGCATCCCTTTGTCGACGTCAGAGATGTAGCGATGGCTCACTACCTTGCTTTTAAAACACCTGGCATTTCTGGCGGAAGATTTATCATTGATATGGCTCCTATAAACATGCAGGAAGTAGCTGATATTTTGCATAATGAGCTGAGATAGTACGGATACAGATGCTAAAATAGGAGAATTGGCTATTGTCCCATTAAGATTGCTTCTTGGTTTGATCCCCAGGTTAAGATAATTCTGCCTTGGATCAATGGAAATATTAGATCAACTAATTAGAAGTCAATTGATATTCTTGGTATGTAATATACCAGAGATTTGAAACAAACAGTGATTGACACTGGATATTCATTAATTGACAAGGGACTTGTTCCTGACAAGAGAAAGAAATGAAATATCAAATTCAAAATATCCTTCAATATTTAGTTTATTAAGAAATCTTTACAATGATAATATCTTTGACAAATGGGGTTTTGGGGTTTTGGGGTTTTGGGG